GGTATCTTCCTAATGATTTGGAGTATTTTTGGATCCAAAAATAACTAGTTTATGGTATCTTCCTTATGATCAACGTGCATTATTTGGTCTCTACATATGTTTCAGCAGGCCACATGATATATTTTCACAAATCAATAAAAAAAAAAATGTTCCGTTTTTTTAAGGGAAAATATTTATATACGAGTATTGAGCTATTGATGTACTAAAACCAATATTCATGTTTTTCAGGTTTTGAGTGCACACTTCCGCGCTTACATACAGGCACTAGAGAAACTACAGTTAGACATAGCAACATCTAGTGATCTGATTGGGGTTGAAGCTAGAAGTTCAGGTCTTTTCTTGAGAGGAAGGGAACCACTGAAGAACCGCTCTGCTGTTTTTGCACTTGGTGATAGAATAAAGATATTGAAGGTTTTATTATTATCTTAATTCTTGTAACCTCCTTGATCACGCAATGGTTCTCTCACTCTTGTTTGAATTCTAATTTGTGACTTCTTTCATTCTCTTAATTATTCATTTCTTCTTTTCTTCATTCCTGTTTGAACTAGTAGCAGACTTGATCCTTTTAGCTGATTTTACTAAAGTTTTGTATTTATTTTGTATTCCTTATTTCTTATATTGTACTTTCACTTTGATGCATTAAAAATAGTGATATGGTTACATTCACATTTTTAGATTGTACTTTCGTTTTGATGCATTAAAAATAGTGATATGGTTACATTCACGTTTTAAATCACATGTAATAAATAACATCTTGATATAAGTTTGCGTTTATACTAATTGCACTTGCTGCACGTCTTGGTGTGAACTCCATTCAGGAAATTGATGAACCTGCGTTGATTCCACATATAGCTGAAGCCAGTTCAATCAAGTATCCTTACGAAGTTCTCTTTAGAAGCTTGCATAAGCTTCTAATGGACACTGCCACTTCTGAGTACTTCACAGTTTACCTTTGTTTATTACCCCTCCAGAATGTTATTTTTAGCAAGTTTTTAGGTTTTCTAATGAATTCTTTCTACTTCACAGGTATAATTTTTGTGATGTTTTCTTTGGGGAAGAATCTATGTTTCATGAGATCTTTGCGGGTAATTATGATAGAAGTCCTTGGCTTATTGTCAGTTAGCATATCTACACAGACACTAAGTTGCCAATATGAGTTAGAATCTTCCATTACGATTTTTCACTTTCATTAAACTTGTGCTGTAGATCTTATATTCCTATTTTCTTTCAAATTTATCATTCGTACATCTATGAATGCAAAAATCATCATTTTGTAATGCAAATTCATCATTTTGTACTTTGAACCTTGCTACTTCCGACTTATCTTAATGGGAGTCGATTTATGTGGAAGCTGTGACCATGCATATTGCCAATTTCTGACTTTTCTTCTTAGGAAAAGATAATGAATGGAAGATACTTCATTTCCGTTATTATAGTAATTCAGTGTGGTTAACATGATCTGACATTCGTTCTCAAATAATCAGGTCCTTTTGCTGTCATTGATGAACACTTCAATTCAATTCTTCCAAATAGTTATGATGCAATTGGTCTAATGCTCATGATTCTGATAATTCATCTGCATCAGGTACATTATCTTAACTCTGAATCTGGTGCTAATTGTAGAAGCACAAAAAAAGTGCTAATTTTCTAGCTTCTTAATATACTGAAGAATTGCTGCCATGCTAGGCTTCTATTTTAATTCAATGAGGGACATATGCCCTAACTAGAAGATCGGGAGGAGGATATGTCAAAGTGGAGCTTACGATTTAGATAATATCTGAAATTTCTAACTATTTTTATTATCTCATCTAGTCGACGTCGTTTCTTTTTTAAGAGCATGGCTTCATCTGATAAATATCTACCTTTATTTTTTACATTTTAAAGAATTACATGTTTATTTTTTAATTATATTTTTATAAGAAGAAATACGTGAGATGACCCACAACCATTGAATGGATTTTGTTGCATAACTTGTCAGGATATGTCAGATACTTGTTCTAGAAAAGCTTAATTGTGCAACTTGGTTATGACATTTTTTCACTTAGGTTGCATTTTTTATTACCTATAATATATACACTTGCTGATAATGCTCACATGTCCAGCTCATCATGTCACGCCGGCGTATACCTTGCATGGACTCATATTTAGACAAGGTCTGTGTTCCTTGACATGGTGATTATACTTCTACTTAGATTTCTAGATATCAGTTCCATTGATCTCAATGGTGTTAGTTGATAGCCCCCTAGGGTGTACGTGGCCTATGATTGAAAACCTCCTCTGTGTGTAAGCTTTTATGAAGGACCAAAATAAATGTTGAACTGATTAGTAGCTCAATTGGAATTTGAAGGAAGAGAGAATTTTGTAAATGACCGAATGTGATATTTCTTTCGTATCCGAAGTTTCATAATTGTATTGCTTACTCATGAACTTCATGACCTGGTTGTTGGATTATTCGGAGCAGGTTAATATTGCTCTTTGGCCTCGTTTTAAGATGGTATTTGACATGCACCTCAGCAGTCTAAGGAATGCAAATGTGAAGACATTGTGGGAGGATGATGTCCATCCTCACTATGTCATGAGGCGATATGCTGAATTTACAGCTTCACTTATGCATCTGAATGTCGAATATGGAGAAGGACAGGTAGATAGGAGACACAATAATGGGATGTCTTTACTTTTTTTGTCAGGTTTTCACTGCCTAATTAGTCGGATTCTTATTATGCATACACAATGCCATGTTTGCAGCTTGATTTGAATTTGGAGCGGCTAAGAATGGCAATTGATGACTTGCTTATCAAGCTTGCCAAAACCTTTGCAAAATCAAAATCGCAGACAGTATTTCTCATAAACAACTACGATATGACAATTTCTGTCTTGAAGGTTAGGATCCCCTCTCAAGGTTTCTCTTTTTCTAATGAAATCAATGGAGAATAAAGGCAGGAGGTAATGTCAATCCGTAATTTCACATAAAGCTAGAAAGACTATAACAAGTGTGGCAACTTATCCTGATCCCGCCTTGCAGTATTTTTTCTTTTTCAGTCACTATATTTCTTTTCAAAAAAGAACGTTGCTTCGCAGAGTTCATTGGAAAAGAAGGATCTTCACATAATTTTTACGCCCTCGTTGAGGAAATAGAACAAACTACTTGGTCAAGATTATTTTTTTTCAGTTTTTCCTTCGAGTCAGGCACCACATGAGTTTGTTAATAGCTCTATAAAGAGTGTCCTTCAAGGAGAAATTTTATTCGTGTTACTTTGATTTCAGGAAGTTGGTCCGGAAGGTGGGAAAATTCTGGTGCACTTTGAGGATCTACTGAAGAGCAACACAGCCTTGTTTGTGGCAAGTAACATGCTGATTGTGATGTCCTAGCATGGTTTTTTAATTACGTAATTGCATTGCTGATGTTGATATTTGATTGCATATAACTAATATTGCTTAATGTCTTGTAATTGAATGAAAAAGATTGATCTTCAAAACTTTTGTGAGATGAAGACCAACTACCACAAATCTGTAATATTATATAATTTTACATAGCCTGAAGTGGCTCGACCTGTCAAAAAAATATCCAATATACCTATGTGATCTGCACATGCCTTCTGCTTATACACCGTTTCCCCCCTACAAATATATATTCCTTTTTTTTTCTTTATTAGCGAGTCCTATAAAGACGCGAATACCTTCATGCAGGAAGAACTCTTGGCAGAGCATTTCAGTGAACTTATCAAGTTCGTGAAAACCCGCGGCTGTAAGTACTTGAACAATTTTATTTTGACTTTCTGTTACTTATTCAAGTAATGAAGTTAATCAGATATTCTCTTTTTTCAGCGGAGGACCTCAGTTCTAATCCTGACCGACCAATTACTGTGGCTGAAATACAGCCTCTTGTAAAGGACTTCGCGAGCAGATGGAAAGCTGCAATTGAGCTGATGCACAAAGATGTCATCACTTCTTTCAGTAATTTCTTGTGTGGAATGGAAATTCTTAGGGCTGCTTTGACTCAGCTCCTCCTTTATTACACAAGACTCACGGATTGTATAAAGAGGATCGTCGGTGGCTCTGCTCTAAACAAGGACCTAGTGTCCATTTCTTCAATCATGTATGAAATTAGAAAAATTTCAAGAACTTTTTAAGGTTGAGGGAATCAGAACTAAGAACAAGAAATGAAGATAGCATAATGTGTGTAAGCAAGCTGAAGCCAAAATCGGCACCTTCTTTTCTCTGAGCTTCGTTTTATGCATCACATTTTCCATTCACAAAATGTTAGTTGTTCACAAAATTTCTTCTTGCAGGTTGCAGCCCGTGTTTATGTTCGGTTGTGCACAACTTTTGATTCTTCGTAAAATCTCGGTAAAATCTCGGGTTGATGCTCGAGCTTGTGGCTTTACTCATCTGTCACATTTCAGTGCGAAGATATTACATTCATTATCTGTGTCACTGTAAACAAACTTTTCCCATGGAACTCAATACAGCCCTTTCCCCTCCATCAAATTAGAAGAAACACGTTTTGTTGTAAGATTTCTGTTTCAAATTAGAAGAGAAATAGGAACAATGGCTTACATTAGAGTGAAATGTTTAGAATTTCTTCTTCGAAGAGAGGTTTTGCCTTCAACTTGGAACAGACAGACAGAGACATTTGGACAGGGTTAGTGTTTTATGGTTTTTCTAAGATGTTTAATGTCACTCGCCCTTGTCTCTTGTCTCTGAACTTTTAAACACTTATTTTATAGTTGATAAATTTGAATAAAACACCACTATTTTGCTTGCCCCTTAATTGTAAAAAAAAGAAGTATATTATTTGGTCAAAGATATATCTTATCAATTGTAGATTTATTTATATATTCGAAGCCATATTATCAATTTGTTTTTAAAGTTTAGAGATCAAAACATGAAAATTAAACCATTGCAGAGATAAAAAAAAAAAGATATAACAAGTTCAAATATTTTAAATTAAAATGGAATAATTCTGGAAGGGTTCGTATGAAATTAGGAAATAAACGAAACTTCATCCCATTAAATTTTGTTAAAGAACTTAAAAAACTTAGCACGAAACTGAAAATATAATGGGCTGGGCATACATAAAGGACCAAACCATATATGTAGCCGAGACTCCACTATAAAGTTGGGCTACAGAGTTGTGAATTTTGGCAAGTCCAAACTCGGTTGCTTGTCAAAAGGAGGCGGAAGGGAACACTATCAGCCGATTTAGACCCGCAACTTATTGGTCCTTCCAGTCCAGTCTTTATGAGAAGAAGAAGAAGAAGCAGAAGCAGACCAGAGTTTCTCCTTCAGTGTTCACTTCAGCCGGCTTTAGGCATTGGAATCGACCCAATCTTTTGAACCCACAATTCCAAACACGACTTCGTTGCCGCCCCCCCTTCAGACGCCCACAACCTGTTCGCAAAAATGCCTGCAAGTAAACCGGCAGATTCTCGCAGCTCAGCGCGCAACAAGCATACCGGTACGTGATCAAATTTCTCTTATTCTAGTTCTTCATTCAATTTGACCCTCGAGGAAAGGGAACAATCCAATTCCAGTATGCCTTCTTTTCGTGCTGTACAACTGCTTCTCGGGTCCTATTCCCTACGCAAGCGTCGATTTATTCTGCCGACTTCCCTCCTCTTCCAGGGAAGATGGTTTAAATCCCACATTTCATGTCGCGAAGCGCCATCTGTTTTAAATTCCAGAAACTCTGAGTTATCCGAAAAGGCGTATGTTTTCCATAATCGTAGTTTTATCAGATCTTATTCTTCTGAAAAGAGCAGTGGCAATGGGTCTAGCGAGTGGACTGAGAATATTGAGTATCTAGATGAGTCTGGAAGTGTGATTTTCTCCGGTAAAGGCGTTCGGTCAGTTGAACCAGGTCTGGATGACCATGTAATGGTGGGCGGACTCAAAAAGCCTTTTCTGAATGCCTCGGCTGTTGCTAAGATAGTTGAGATCGTATGGAGGTGGAAATGGGGACCGGAGTTGGAATCCCAGCTTGAAAAACTCCAATTTGTTCCTAATATGACACACATCACTCAGGCATTGAAGATTATCAATGATGCTGAGTCTTCTTTGAGTTTGTTTCGTTGGGCTAAGAGGCAGTCCTGGTATTCAGCTAACGATGAATGCTATGGGTTGTTGTTTGATGGGTTGAATCAGAAAAGAGATTTTGATGCCATTCAGTTGCTGTTTGATGAGATTGTTCGTGATTTAAGCAATGATGGGACTGTGTCATTCAGTGCGTATAATCGTGTGATTCAGTATTTGGCTAAAGCTGAGAAATTGGAAGTGTCTTTCTGTTGTTTCAAGAAGATTCATGATTCAGGTTTCAAAGTTGATACCCAAACATACAATTCGCTTATAACCTTGTTCTTAAACAAGGGTCTGCCTTACAAGGCATTCGAGATATACGAGAGCATGGGAGGAGCAGGGTGTTCTTTGGATGCATCTACCTTTGAGTTGATGATACCAAGCTTGGCAAAATCAGGTCGTCTGGATGCTGCAATGAAGCTCTTTCAAGAGATGAAAGAGAGGAATTTTCGTCCTGGCCTAAATGTTTTTACAACCCTTGTGGATTCTATGGGGAAAGCTGGGAGGCTCGACACATCGATGAAGATTTACATGGAAATGCAGCTGCTAGAGCTCAGACCACCTGCATCTATGTTCGTTTCTTTAGTTGAGTCACATGTGAAGGCTGGGAAGTTGGATACTGCTCTCAAGCTTTGGGATGAGATGAAAAGGGCAGGTTTTAGGCCGAACTTTGGTTTGTACTCTATAGTTGTTGAGTCACATGCTAAATCAGGGAAACTCGAGGTTGCTATGTCTATCTTCACCGAAATGGAGAAAGCTGGATTTCTTCCCACTCCATCTACTTACTGCTGTCTCTTGGAAATGCACGCAGCATCGAGACAAGTAGATCCTGCCATGAAACTCTACAACTCTATGACTAATGCAGGCTTGAGACTCGGGCTAAGTACATACACTGCTTTATTGACGCTCCTGGCTAATAAGAAGCTAATTGACATTGCTGCCAAAGTTTTACTTGAAATGAAGGCCATGGGATTCTCTGTTGATGTGAGTGCAAGTGATGTATTGATGGTGTATATCAAGGAAGGTCATACCGATGCTGCTTTGAGGTGGCTTCAGTTCATGGGTTCGTCTGGAATAAGAACTAATAACTTCATCCTCAGGCAATTGTTTGAGTCATGTATGAAGAAAGGAATGTACGAGTCAGCTAAGCCTCTCTTAGAATCCTATGTAGACTCTGCTGCAAAAGTTGATCTCATACTTTACACATCCATCCTGGCCCATCTTGTAAGGTGTCAAGAAGAGCATAATGAGAGATATTTGATGTCCATCCTCAGTGCTACCAGACATAAGGCACACTCTTTCTTGAGTGGACTGTTCACTGGACCAGAACAAAGGAAACAACCAGTTTTATCTTTTGTGAGGGAGTTTTTTCAGAGCATCGACTATGAGCTGGAAGAGAGCAGTGCAAGATACTTTGTGAATGTCCTCCTCAACTATCTCATTCTAATGGGACAAATAAATCGAGCTCGATGCATTTGGAAGGTCGCTTATGAGAATAAGCTCTTTCCAAAGGCCATAGTCTTTGATCAACACATCGCCTGGTCACTCGATGTTAGGAACTTGTCAGTTGGAGCTGCCCTTATAGCAGTCGTGCACACACTCCATCGGTTCAGGAAGCGAATGTTGTATTATGGTATAGTTCCAAGGCGCATAAAATTGGTTACTGGACCTACTTTGAAGCTTGTGATCGCTCAAATGTTGAGCTCTGTGGAATCCCCATTTGAGGTTAGTAAGGTGGTTCTGAGGGCAACAGGAGATTCTGTGATGGAGTGGTTCAAAAAACCAATCGTCCAACAGTTCCTTCTGAATGAGATTCCATCAAGATCAGATATCCTAATGCACAAGTTGAATACTCTCTTTCCCAGTTCTGCACCTGAAATTAGATCTCTTTCCCCTATCAAACCCCTCATTCCCAGGAATTCAGCATAATTGTCAACCGTTTTCTTAAAATAGATAGATTCAGGGGCTCTGCTTTTCAAGAGGTAAAAGAATTTTGTCCTGTAATTCAACTCTGATAGCATTTTACCTTTAGCTCCTGATACTCAAGAATTGCGATAAAAAGAACTCTACTTGTTGCAAATCACATAATCTCATCCCTATACACATAATTATGAACCCAGAGATTCCTTGGATATCTATGATAAAGAAGACTTCCAATGTTTTCATTTGCTTCATAATATTGTGGACAGAACAGAGACACGACAGTAAGACATTCTGGACTTCGTCATTTCTATTTCCACTCAAATGCTGTTTCATTTTCACTCTAGTGGCTTGCTATCGATAATTGTGAAAATACAAAACAAAATGGCTTAGAAGAATCTATATTTATAAAATACTCTATGAACATGTGAGGAATCCATCTTGTGTAATCAAATAGCCTTCTCCACCCACACTTCTCCTTACTGCCTGATAAAGCTCCACCCAGGAAGAGCAATGCAATTCCTCCGTTCCCCACAAGAACGTGGGATTGGGGCTAGCAGGGCACGCAGTAACCAAATCCAACACCGACGCAGCCGGTTTCAGTGACTGAGGGAAATTGAATGCTAAATTGTCCACTTTGTGTTCGTAAATTTTCCCATTTCGATCCACCTTAAACCGCGAAGTGCCCTGAAACTCACCTCTGGCCTCCCATGGAACCCTAGGAACGCCCTTCAAATTCCACCGAATCAGTATAACGTTTTCAGAAGGCTGCCAAATCCGGTACACCTCAATCCCGATCTCCCGGAACAGAATTCTACCATGAAATCTCAACGCCCAGAATATCAATTTGTACCTCTCAATCCCACTGAACGTGTTGAGAGGATCAATAAACGTTATGTCGTCCCTGAAAACGATCGAACCCCCAAAGTTAAGACGGGCAAAAGAGCAGAGGATCATAAATTAGCCTCAGAAATAGAGAGAAAAGTACCTGTAAATGTCGTAATTGAGGTCTCTGGCGAAGATGAGAGGAAGGTCCTCGCGAAGCGTCCTGACAGCGAGGCCGAGATTGACATAAAAGTCGTCTCTGCGGTCGTCGGAGCGGGAATCGGGGAAAGCAGAAGGAGAGGCGAGTTGAGGGCCCTGGAGAAGAGGCTGAGGGGAGTGGACGCTGGTGAGGGAGAGAGAGGAAGAAGAAGAAGAAGAAGCCCTGATTTGAGAGAAGAGAAGAGGATTTTGTTTAGATTTGCAGAGAAGGGAGAGGGAAGGGAAGAGGTGGGGAAGAAGAAAAGCCATGGAAGTTTGAAGTTTGAAGTTTGAAGTTTGAAGTTTGTCAGAAGGAGGAAGGCTCAGGTTTTGAAAGCCATGGAGTAATCAGCTTTGGTTTGGTAAGCGGGTTGTGTGGTTTTAAGCGTGGCCATCTCTCGCGGGTAATTTCCAATTTCCATGGCCTGCCCCTGCCCCTGCCCCTGCCCCTGCCTTACTCTCTTAGTAACCAAATTAAAATATTACACAATATATTTTGCCTTTTCTTTTTGTCCCAGGACCAACTTTCAAACAATTTTCCACAACACCATCCACCAATATTCCTTTTTTTTTTTTGTTTTTTTTGCCCATATTTACTATTATCATATTATCCAAAATTATTTAATAATAGCGTGGCTTATGAAATTAAATAATTAATTACTAGTTTCTACCTCGGTAATTAATTACTAGTTTGCATATCTTTATTTGTTTGACTTCTGATAGACTTTTCTATTTTATTTGAATAAGCTTAATTAGATTTAGTGGTTCAAGTTCTCAAAATACAATATATATATATCAGAAGTCGAAGTCTCAAGGGGGAAAAAGTGCTGTTTTTGTGTTGGTATTTAGGGCTGTCCATCTCTGAGGAGGATATTCCCCAAGGAATGGGTATGTATACATACATTCTTTGTACTACTTTTCCATGTTTTCAATGTGGATTTTTGAAGTATGAAATCCGAATTTTGGTGGTTTCAAGTTGGTTGAATTTTTTGATTAGTTAATAAGATAGTTTTGGTCAAGCGGGCATTTTCATTTTCAAAAATCAGTTTTGACTAAAATATCAGCTAAACCCAAATTTGTCAACTCGGCTGATTTTGACCAAAAATCAAGCTGCTTAATGTCTAACGTTATTGTTTAACATCATTGGGACGATTCTTAAGAGTGGTTTGGATGAATCTATGGAAACAGAGGAATTCTACAGATAATGGCCTCAAATTGGATTGCCCAAATCCATATCCACTATCAATGTTACCTATTTTGTTAAAACATGTTGGATGAACATCTTTTAATCATCTCACCACATGGTTCTGCCTGCACAAATGAATGTCACAGTGAGCCCTTCTATTGCATATGGATTAGCTTGATTCAACAGTGTATCAGGAGAAAAGGAATAATACATTTTCACCCTAGCAGAATACCAGTAAGGAGGTATGAATATTTCCAAGCATAAAATCATATTCTAACAAAGCCTAAGCTAGTTTTACCTGTGTGTATTCATTCAGAGGGCGATTTACACTTGTTTCGTTGTTCGGCAAGTGAGTTTCTGTCATTGTTTTCTACAAACTTAGATAAAATAGTCGAATCATTTTGTCGGTCTCTTTCAACCAACCACTCTTCTCGAAATTGAACATCGACATCTCTGTTCGAAAATATGACCAAAAGCCATTAAAATGTAGTCAAGAAATTAGCTACAATTCAAGGACACGCATAAGGTCAAGTGTGAAAATGAAGGCAAAGGAATTACCTTCTTAAGGCTAGAACTTTGTAGTTCGTTCGGAGGTAATCGGCATACTTTGTAAGTGCATCTTGTGCATATGGTTTGCCCACAGTTCTTATTGCAGCAGCACTGAGTAGATTCTCCAAAGAACCATGTTTCTTTAAGAGCTTCATTGCAGTCTTTCGACCAAATCCAGGAGCAACGTGCTGGATTCCCGGAACGCCATCTACCTCATCACCCATTATGCATCCTATGCGATAAATCATTATATCAAACTTCAATATTCATTTTATTTCCTTTTGGTCAATGATTGCACGTGTTGTGTACTTTATGATAAGAAAATGGCATAAATGTCTGAGCTTCTCTTTCTAAATGGTTTCAACATTCTATGTTTGCAGGCAGTACTTACTAAGACTCAAGTCAGAGCACGGATCACAGTTATACTGAGCAAGGTAGTGTTTTAAGGTGTAAAAGGACCATCTGTTGAGCTCTGGCAAAGGCATCACGAGTTGGACATCTTCTGAAATCAACTGCTTGAAATCTTTATCAGGAGAGGCTATTACTGCCCGGAACCCTCGTTGCAAAACTTGTTCCACAAGTGTAGCGACAACGTCATCTGCTTCGTGACCTTTGATCTTTATAACCTGCAAGATATAGCTTCTTAGCATGAAAAAAATAAGTCTTAATGATTCAGAACATTTATCCCTTCGAAATTTAATACTCAAACAGCAATCACATTAGTCCTGAATAGTAGCAGCTTTCTGCAATTTACATTAGCTACTCTGCAAATATGTCGCAAACTATGTAGACAAAATTCACTTACGGGCACATCACAGCTTCTGAGAGCATCTCTTATCACTTGATATGACCTTCCAGAATTTCCCTTTGTAAATCTTTGTGAAGATGATTGTCTAGTGAATTTGATCCGATGTGCTTTATATGAGGGTAACAACAGCCTGCGATGCTCACTACCTCCTTCCCCATCAATAACCTGCGGAGCCAATACTAATTTGATGAGTTCGAGAAATATTGCATTCTACTGATTCCGATAACCTTTTCTATATTAAGAAAAATCTATTCAATGAAAACAAGTCTCACATGAAGACAGACAGATCTCTAGCTATTTGACAGTACAAGTAAGAGAATGATAATACCTTAGTTACAAAGCTAGCAAGGATGGGGTATCTAGAGTTAAGAGAAAGTTGATGAACAAATCAACATTGAAAAGTAAATCGAATTGCAGCCATATGTGGTTGTGTACATCCATCTCCCAAGTAACGAACTTAACTTTTTCCAACTATAAAGCAAAAAAACAATGCCAGAATCACTATACTCCAACATTTACACTTAAAATAGAAATGAAGATCTCCTTCTCAAAACTTCTGCAGTAAGCACTAGGCCCAAGAGGTGGCGGTGTGATCTTAACATTTGCTCACTGCACTAAGCATTGGGCCCAAAACGGCATGAAAGCAAGTGAAATCTAAATCTTTACCTCTCTTCCTGCACTAGAAACATTATTCAACTGGAGAGCAGGCAGGGAGTCATATTTAATTCTCAATTAGTTGATCTTGTGATTGCCACAAGCAGTTGCTTAAGCAACAAATAGACCTCGCGGTCACTCGACATTCCAAATTTGAAAATGACATAGAAGCCTTAGAAAGCACTGCTTGAACAAAACCAAGTCTTAAGTCATTAAGAAAATCAACTCATAAATTCTGGACAGAAATTCAAGACCCTCTATCATGGGACGTCCCTTAACAAGTCTCCTCGCCAACAGTACAATCATGTATAATTAAACGAAAAGAAAAGGTCCATGTTAAAAAAATAAATAGAGACATGCTCTTGTTTTCATCATCAAGAATTTGAACAGATGTCTGTCATTTGGGCTCAACTGCTGGCCTTTAACCAATTTTTTCATAAACCAATTTAAAAACAACTTCAATCATTGAGAGTTTAATTCCATCAAGTAAAAATTTCCAAGATTTTCAAAGTTGCGTCACTGTAAATAATCAAAGCAATCAAATCACTGAACCCCGTATGTAATTCCCATTCCAGATATCAGTCAAATGAGATGATGTTTACTTCATCTCATTCGGTTAATTTGTAGATTGAAGTTGTCCCGTATGATAACACAAAAAATGGCAGCACGCATTAAACAGATAAACGAATTACAAGCAGACAGTCAGAGAGAAATTAATAAGTTCAGACATCGGCACCGGAATCAACGAGAATCTAAGCAGCGTGTATATATATATGTATAAAAGTGTGAAAATCAGACATCTTATGCGCTCGCCGTTATTGATAATAAACGCAATATAGATAAAATGGCACTTACGGCAATAACAGGATCGCTATGGCTAACTTCCTCGAAGAAGATGGAAACCCAGCGACCAAAATTGTGCAAACTAGGTCTGCTGCCTTGATAACATAGAGGATTTACGTCCAGGAAAAA